GCGAAAGATTTCGAATTTTTTTGCGTAATATTTCGAAAGATTTTTCGCAGATCTTCGGAATATTTTTCGGAAATTTTCGAAATTAATTATTTCGAAAATTTTTGCGTCGATCGTAAATCTTTCGAAAGATTTCGACCTGAAAATTCTTTCGAAAGATTTCAGTTATATAAATTTGCTGATGTAGTTACATTAGAATTAAGTATAAATACTAGCTAAAAGAAGAAGTTTTGTACTAAAAAATATTAATATTTATATATTATATACTATAAATAAATTTTAATATATATTTATTTCAATTTTGTAATAAACTTATTCTAAAAATAATTTAAAATTTTAAATTAATAATATTTCAATATAAAAGTATTTAAAATTTAAAATTATAATTACTATAATTAAAGCTTCTGATTCTTACAAGTTTAAAAGAAGTGCACCAATACTACAAATTAATAATGACAATGCATCTTCCTTTTGTTTATTAGAGAGATGAGTATAAATTTTATAAGATAACTTATTTTTATATTTAGTAATAGATATAGTAGTACCTATTACAATATTTTTCTGAAAAAGAGAAGTAATTGCAGTTGATTAGCTAGAATAATTTATAATATCATAGTTTTTATATTGATTCTTACTACAATACAAATATTTTTTATAAAAAATCTACAAAATCTTGCTTCTAATCTTGTATCAAGATACTATGAATCTTTTGTATAGTTTAAAATAAAGATATGTAGTTAAAAAATTAATTTTAACTATTTGATTTAATATATGATTTTATATCTGTTATTAGCATACTTACTATTAATTTTGTTATTAATTTTTAGATGTAAATATGGGCATTTAAAATTCAACAGCCTTTTTGAAAAGTAAAGCTTAATATTATAAATAGAACTTTAACAATCTTCAGAATTAGATAGAATAGGTACAATAAATGTATTCAAATTATTATCCTTGCTACCTTGATTATTCTTTTGAGAATATTTTTTAAACTGAATTCTACTATTAAAAGTAAATTCAAACTGTTCTGTCATAATATTATAATGTTCATCACTATGAGGTTGAAATAGCAAACAACACTACATAAATACTCAGTATTGCAGACTCTGAGAAGTATTATTCACAACTATATAATACTTGAATATAGTTTATAACTCTGTATTTGTAAGATGATTATGATAATATAATACAATTTCTTCTTTTTTGAGTCTCTTTATTTTTCTGTTTAGAGCTTTCTATAAATGAGTTAATTCTTTTCTATTCGATATATTAAAAGTCTTTGTACTACTTTGATGCTTTAAAATATAAATGCTGAGTAACTTAATACAATTAATAAAATAGGATAGAATATATTCTTTATTAGTATTAACTTGTTAAATTCTCATAATAAATTTAGTCATCTCTTGTTTAAATTAGTCCTTATCTATAACTGTTTTAATTCCATAATTGTATTCTACATTATGATACTAGTTTTCTAAGATCTTTATCTACTTTGCTATTGCCTTTTGGGTCTCATATACTATAATATTAATTATTTCATCAATTTTAGCACTAGTGAGTTTGTAGTATTTATTTTCACTGTATTTATTTTTATACAGTTGATCAGAAAAAAAAAGAAATATAATTGCTTTTAATATTTATAAGCAGTATGATCTATATCATAACTTATACTTTTAATTTGTAAATTAAATAAATCATAATAATTATATTTATCTATTATTTGTTTCTGTGGTTTGAATTTCATATATATTTTTAGAATTTGATTTAAATATTTATATAATTTATTAATAAAATTTCTTTTATTTTGTTTTTTAATTAATAATTTTACTTGCTTATATTATGCTTGATTGTTGTAATCTAACAGATAATACTATTATTGAATGCTACATACTAATAACTATTATATCTGAGCCAGAATTTAATCAAAAAATAACTGAGCCTATAGGAACCTAGTCATCTTCTGATCAAATTCTAGCTTAGATATGATAGTTATTTGTTATATATTATAATAATATTGTGATCTTGCAGATTTTAATATAATTGTACTACTTGTTAAATAACTTTAGTTATTGAATACTTTATATTTAATAACTATATATTCTTCTAAGAATTGAATATTTCAATATTTCTCCACTTCTTGTGGGCCATTTTTAGAGGAGAATGTAGTAAGTAGACAGGTGGGAAAGTCTATTTACGCGAAGGACCAATTTTATGATAGCCAGACTCAACGTACAGAGTAGGCTTTGTTATCCTCTGCAACTGTGAGAACTGGGTATACGGTGAGCGCTCTTACAGAAGACTTCCAACTATCTTCAGTTACCAATACTCCAACACCTACTAAAGAAAATCTATGCTACAATAAGTATCTTTTATACCATAACTTACCTCTACTCCAAAAACCACAAACACTTAAATCCTTCTATCAATATCT